ATGTATCTCGATAACATGCTCACGGCCTGTGATAAATCTGGCCTCGTAAACACCATCGCATACATCAAGCTACCTACTGCACTGGCATATGGGACATTCGACAAATAATCTCTGTCCTCAACTGAAACAGGTGACATCAACGCTGAAAGCTTGAAGTGGGGAGCCAATGGTGTGCTAACTGCTTTTGCATTTCCATCAAAGCTGAATTTCTTCAACATCTTCTGCAAGTAGCTCTTCTGTGTAAGCTTCAAACTCCCACTCACCCTATCTCTCTCGATCTCCATACCCAATATCTTCTTTGCCTCACCAAGATCCTTCATCTCAAACTCGGATGATAACTCCTCTTTCAGCTTTCGAATAGCGAAGAATTCCTGGAAGCAATAAGCATATCGTCAACATATAAAAGCAAATATATGAGCTCACCATCCTGTAGCTTGTGCATATAAACGCATGGGTCATATGGGCTCCTCGTGTACCCTCGGCCAATCATAAAACCGTCGAATCTCTTATACCACTGTCTTGGTGACTGCTTCAAACCATAAAGAGACTTCTTCAGCTTACAAACCAAATCTTCCTTTCCTGCAGCTTTGAAACCCTGGGGTTGTGTCATGTAGATCTCCTCATCTAATTCACCATGTAGAAATGCTGTCTTCACATCCATCTGGACCAAATCCAAATCCAACTGTGCCACCAACGCCAATAAAATCCGAATCGACGAATGCTTCACAACGGGTGAAAATACCTCATTGTAATCAATGCCCTCAAGCTGTGCATATCCCTGGCAACTAATCTGGCTTTGAACCGAATGTCCCCAATAGAAGATCCCTCCTTCTTCGCATATACCCACTTGCAACCAATAGCTTTCTTACCCTTAGGTAGATGTGCAAGTGCCCAAGTGTCGTTTTTCTGAAGAGACTTCATCTCCTCCTCCATAGCTTCCCTCCACCTGATCAAATCGAGGCTAGAATTTGCCTCCCTGAATGTGGCTGGAACCATATCATCAACGACCTCCACTGATAATGCATATGCGACAATGACATCATTATATCCACTGATAATGCATATGCGACAATGACATCATTATACCTAGCTGGCCGACGAATCTCTCTCCTCGGTATATCTGCTGCAATGGTCCTCTGAACATGACCCTGTTCCTGAGTCCCATGATCCACTGTACCCTCGGTCTGCCCGGCTATCATCTCATCTCCTCCCAGTGTCACCTCTGTAGGAGCCTTAATGGATACAGTGCTCTCTGGAGTAGGTGGAGTCACATCAACCTCCACCTGCTGTGATATCTCTTCTGTCTGGTCTCCCTCCACCTGCTGAGGGGCTCGAGGCCTCATCATGTACGCCTCGTCAAATGTGACATCTCTGCTAATAACTATCTTCTTGTCCTGTGGATCCCATAACTTGAAGCCTTTGACTCCATCCCTAAATCCCACAAAGACTGCTTTCCTCGCTCTCGGATTTAATTTGCCATCACTGACATGATAATAAGCTGGACACCCGAATATCCGAAGCAACTCATAGTCACTAGCCACCGAACCAAACCAACGCTCCAAAGGAGTCTTCCCGTCTATCGCAGTGCACGGCAACCTGTTCACGAGATGGCTCGCATAAACTAACGCCTCGGCTCAAAAAGATCTAGGCAATCCACTCTGCATCATCATACACCGCACCTTCTCCAGCAAGGTACGGTTCAATCTCTCAGCCACCCCGTTCTGTTGCGGTGTCTCTCGAACTGTGAAGTGTCTTTTGATGTCGTGATCCCGACAAAACTGCAGAAACGGATCACTCTTGTACTCTCCGCTGTTATCTGAACGTAGAGTCTTCACCTTTCTACCTGTCTGCAGCTCCACTTTCTTCTTCCACTCCACAAAAATATCCAGGACCTGATGTTTATGCTTCATCGGGTATACCCAATTCCTCCTGGAATAGTCATCAATGAAAGTGACAAAATAGTTGGCCCCCCCCAAGAGATGTGTTCTTGGAAGGACCCCAAACATCTGTGTGAATATAATCCAATGTACCTCGGGTGTTGTGAACAACGGTTCCAAACTTCACTCTAGTCTTCTTCCCAAGTACACAATGCTCACACAACTCTATCTTGCAGGTCTTAGCACCTTTCAATAGCCCCTGTTTTGCCAATGACTGTAGGGACTTATCTCCTGTGTGTCCAAGTCTCATGTGCCATAAGGTAGTAGTGTCCTCCTCTGTAGTAATAGAAGCTGCCAGACCCCCTGTAACTGTCTTACCCTTCAAGTAGTATAGGTTGTTTTCTCTGACACCTCGCATCACCACCATAGAACCCTTCGTGACCTTTACTATAGCATCCTCTAAGATCACTCGATATCCTGCTGCCTCCAAAGTCCCAAGAGAAATGATGTTCTTTGTCAACTGAGGCACGAACCTCACTTCCTTCAATTCCCTCACTACACCATCATGCATCCTGATCCGGACTGAACCAATACCACCAATAGGGCATACATGGTCATTACCCATAAGCACGACATCCCCTCTTTTCAGCTCCTCAAAGCTAGAGAACCACTCCCTCTTAGGGCAGATGTGATATGTAGCTCCCGAATCCATCATCCACTCCGTAGAATCCGCATAGCAAACCAACGGTAAGGCAGGGCATGAATAACCTAAAGAATCTGAATCTGAATGCTCACCAATAGCTTTTGCAACATTCACTTCGGAAGCTTGTGCAGCTTTCCCCTTATTCTTCCCGGCTTTTTCTTTCTACTTTGGGCAGTCAATCTTCCAATGTCCTTCTTCTTTACAATACCGATATTGATTTCTACCAACACTCTTATAGGCACTCCTATTCTTTGACTTTGAGCGATTGAATTGGCGACGGTTTGAATCTCGACCTCGAACTGCTAGTGCATCTCCCGATGCCTTCTCGGAGGGTTCACCATCACTCTTCCTCAACTCATAGTTCACCAAAGCTGAGGTCACCTCCTTGTAGCTAACTGTAGTTCTTCCATTGATCATAGTGAGAACGAACGTACCATAATCATCTTCGGGCAACGAACACAGAAGTAGCATCGCCTTGTCTTCATCCTCAACTATAATATGCTTAGTGAAATTGTTAACATGCTCCCTGATGGAAACTCCCCTCTTCATCTTGAACTGATAAAATCTCTTCTTCAAGTGAAGCCGATTCTCAATGCTCTTCGTCAGATATTTCTCATTGAGTGTTTCCCACATCTTCTTCGCCGACGTCTCGTTTATGACATCATAAATAAGATCCGGCGTCAAGCATGACCTAATAACACCACAAGCTCTACTATTCATCTTTCTCCAAACCTTACCCTCCAACTCAGCGGGTTTCTCTTTTAACTCAAGAGTCTCCTCCAAATTCTGTGCATCCAAAGCATCCATCACCTGACACCTCCACAATCCAAAATTGATCTTGCCATCGAACTTCGGAACATCAATCTTCGTGTTATTGATGCTCAGACTCTGTATCGCCTTTGTTAGAGACGAACCTGACGTGCTTGCATCTCCCATGTTGTCGATCTAGCTCTGATACCAATTGTTGTGCGCGGCGGAAGCTTTCTAGGGCAACACGAACAATAACTCGAACTAAACCACAAACAATATGCAAACCACAATCACAGCAAGAACACACAATTTACGTGGTTCGGCAAGTTGCCTACGTCCACGGGGCAAGGAGGGGGGAGTTCTTTCTACGGTCGACCGCGCAGGTCTCGCGGTCGACCGCGCCGGTCGACCGAATCATCAAACCCGAGAGTAAAAACGCTTACAGTCATCCGCGGTCGACCGCGCCGGTCGACCGCCACACACTCCGATTCCCAGTCGGTTTGGTGCACGTTTGCGGTCGACCGCGCCGGTCGACCGCCAAACTCTCTGCTGAATTTTCTGATTTTTTGTAATTCTTCATTCACAATATTCATATTTTGAAGTTAGTGCTCCAAATCTTTTTACTATTTTGAAATTAGTCCACAAATCTTTCAACTAGCTGCTAATTAAAAAGACTAATTTCAAAACATTTTAAGGATTTGAAGGACTAACTTCAAAATATGGAGATTTGGGGGCTAATATGGGACTAATATGTATAAAATACTCAAATTTTCCTTTCACTAATATAATAAAGAAATTTTATCTTACTAATTAGTTTGTCTGTCCGAAGAAAATTCACATGAAAAATATATTTTACAATTATTTCTTGTAGATTTATACGATGTTTAATATTTAAGAGAGGTGTATTATGTGTAGTAGCCTGAGGTATTTTATTGGATAAAAAATTGTAGTAGCCTGAGATATTTTATTGGATAAAATTTTTTATATAAATTCTAGTTATAAAAAAATTATCCGGTTTTGGTTAATAATAATTTTGTTGAGATATACAAAAAGGTCACTCTTAGGCAAGTACATATGAGAGCGAAAGGGGCAATGAAAATCTGTAAGCAAGGGCTGGAAGCAGGAAAAATGTGCTAAGACAGATTTATCTGGTCCGCATTTGAGTTTTAGCCCCAAAAATAAAATAGAAATAAAATAGAAATAAAATAAAATAAACTAAAAAGGAGAACCCTACGGGTACTGGTGGTATTATCTTTGGGTTACATCTCCAGTCATCATAGAACTAGATCCAAATTGTAGTTTCTTTCATCTTTCATCTCCAGTCATCCATAATTGGGATCTTTGGTTAAATTTGTAAACTAAAATGAAGATAAGCAACACGGTATCCTCGGTTAAATTTGCAACATTTTTTCTAGTCAATGAAAAAGCTTTATTCATTCACGAGATTGTGCATTAAGATTGTATCTAAGGCTCAAGGGAAATGACGTGAGTTACAAAATAACCAAAAAGGAGAAATGATTACAATCTCTCAAGCCATTTTTAGTGCTATCATTAAAATTGCTATTAAGTACAGCAATCAATACAGAAACTTTTTTATCACTTTAACAAGAGCTGCACCATTCTGTTTAGCCTCCGTTAAGTTTTCAATATTTACAAATCTACAAACTAAATTACAGCACAAAAACACTAAATTTTAAAAACTAGATGTTTATTTTACATGAAGGTTTCTTACCAAACTATTCTGCATACCAACATGTATAAAACTTCAGCTTTAATATTACTTACAATCATCAAAGAAAACCTCCCTAACTTACATAGTCTACATACATAGTTCTTGGATCTTCTAAACCCCCGATACTTTCACATCATAGTTTGAGAGTATATGTACATGGAAATAGATTGAAGGTGGAAGTCTTAGGTAGATTTCAGTCTGTCCAACTGAAAATTCCTCTGCAATGTTTCAGGTACAAAATCAAAATAGTGTTCTTGTTAATAATAACAAGAAGAGGAAGACAGCAAGTACTCACCAAGAGCGCATAGATTTCATCGACAAATGGCTGAAGTAGCGATACTAACTTCTTGATATCTCCTTTCAATCCATCGTAATCTTGACCTTCGCTTATAAGCAAGCTGATGAAGATCTCTCTCTCCGGAATGAGCTTCAAACCTACCTGTTCACAAATTTTATGAACTAATTACTTCTAACGAACGCACTTATATCAAGACACGGTGTATTTTTTGTGGAAGTTGTGAGTTGTCCAGCGGGCAAAAGATGAATGTGTGAATTTGATGTGGCAAGTGGGGACTGAGTTGTCCAGCGGGCAAAAGATGAATGTGTGAATTTGATGTGGCAAGTGGGGACCACATGCATTGATGAAAGCGCGTGGAAGGGAATGTGTGAATTTGATGTGGCAAGTGGGGACCACATGCATTGATGAAAGCGCGTGGAAGGGAAGTTCATGTGAACAAGAATTTGTGTGCGAAGAAATTGTTCAGCGGACAAAAGCAAGGCCCACCCGATTAACCAATAGGCTATAAATAGGAACATTGTTTTTTAGCCTAGGTTTTGGTGCATTTGAGGGGGTGGCTGCGGCAGAAGTGCAGAGAAGGAAAAATCGGCTCTCTCTTCTAGGGATTTGTGGGGTTTTTTGTGCAGTTGTTCTAGGGTTCTGTACATCCCCTTTTTGAGAGAGATAATTGTGTGAGGGGTTTGAGAGATTGTGTGAGGGTTTAGATTGAGAGATTGTAAACCCTATTTGTATTCTCTTTCACTCTATTAGTAGATCCCCCTCCTTGCCCCGTGGACGTAGGCAGTTTGCCGAACCACGTAAAATTGGTTTGTTTGAGTTTGTGGCCATTGTAATAGTTTTTAGGATCCCTCGACGCGCAGTCCTAGAGCTGACGAGAGGAAGAGCTAATATCCCACTTTGATGGGATATTAGGCTTCAGATTCTTGTTCCCTTTGAGAAACAAGAATTCTTATCGATCTTTCTCTCTTATTGTGCACCAGAAACTCTGCCGAAATTTCCGCTGCGCACAACAAGTGGTATCAGAGCCCAGATTCCAGATCTAGGGTTTGGTTGGAGGAGTAGATCAAATTGGAGGCCCGTTTAGGACTTCGTTGGTGATAAAGGTGGGATCTTTTGGTAAAGACTCTATCTTTTAGTTTTCAGATAAAATTGCTTAAAATGGATAAACATCAAGTTTTATTTGCAATGTCGATATCAGTTTCTTTGGAGAAACGAGTGTGAATCATATATGAATCTACTATCAACTTATGTTGCTATGATATCAGGCTTTGCTCCCTAATTTGCCAAGACTTACTGATCCGTGTAAATGAAATGTACGTGAATAGAAATATATTTAGTTACTTAAATCTGCTGGAAAGAAAGAGAGCTCAATATAAAGGTTAGCATTTTGAGATCGCCCAAGAGTGTTAATTTGTTGAAGGATGCTCATTGGTAACCTGATCGAAGAAGACTTGAAATTAATTGAAAGTTTGCTTTTTTTCCATTTAATCACTTATTTCCCTGCCAATAATTGTTCAAGGCTGCTGATGTTAGTAACTGTGTTTCTCCTGATATTTTTCGGAATATAAGAGTGGATGATTTGTTACCCTGTAAGCAGCACTTGAGATCCAACCGTGCCAAGGCTGCAGAGTGCTCTTATATGCTTCCTCAACAACTTGTTCTAGGCTCAGCTCAGCTCCCTTCTCTAACCTCTGCAGTACTTCCAGGCTAAAACAAATTGATCTGATTCAAATAAACACTAGCGCAAATTAGGACAAGTACAAAATAAATTTTCACCCAAAAAAAAACCACAATAACAAGAAGAAGAAAACTTGTATCTCTATAAATTGAATTGATGCGTTTCAATACCTAGCTAACCAAACCACGGCTTTGGAATAGCTTCCAGGCTTTCTGCTTGTCCCGTCGCGCGTCTCTTTCTTTAGTATCTCTTCTAAGCTGAAGTATATAGAGGGATCTGATACGTATACTTCTTCCACGCTCTGCAAGATTGTTTATATGTTGTATGAAAAGTTTAATATGGCATCTATGGCATTAGATGAGAAGGTATAAGCATTGAATCTCCACTTGAGTCGGATTCCATAGAGTCCAACTCGATTCCAGTTTAAATTACTAATGAAGACAGTATTTGAACATAATACGTCCATAAAAAAACAGATCACAAAGTCCTGAATTAGATTACGCGATGACATATACGTCCACCCCGCCTTGAGTCAGTAAGACAATAATAGAACATTCAAAGTCTCATCCATCTATGGATTCTGATCCCTATTTGTTGGTTATAAAGGTTCCAAAGCAGAAATGGCTACACTAAATCTCTTTGAACCCTATTCGAGCCACTAATCTATATATATTAGCCATATATCCAACTTATTGTTTGTCAATGTAGAACAATATCTCACCGCATTGCTTTGACAGAGCAAAGTCTTGCTTAAACTGAATGGATATGAGACGCTCCTAATAACCATATACTCAGTGTCTTATGCAGATTAAATGTCCTTAAACACGTGATGAAAAGTTATTTTGCAGTCAGTCTTTGTAGAGTTATTGTTATGGTCCCCATGAGCTTTATGTTTGCATCGTCATCGAAGTTTCGAGCTTCTTGTCCTTCTCGTCGTAAAGGATGCATTTCCATCATCAGAACTTTTTCGACTCGTGTAAGTGTAGTCTCATAATGGAATAAGTTAGAAAAATGATGTACTCAAGTACAGAGTGGTGAATACCAAATTAGCTAAAATTGTGGGTTAATTTGTTTCCTAGCCTCTATTTGAGGCTCATTTACTCAAAGATTGAGAATAATTTTACCCGATAAAGTACATTAGGGCTCAGTTGTTGGGAGAATGACCAGGGTCAACTCAGATCATTAGCCAAGACTATGAAAGATCCTACTGATGATGGTAGCCGTGTCTTGCTTCACAACTATCGGCTTTAGACAAAGTCATGTTGACTAAGATATTGTTAGCACACACATGATAGGAGATTCTAGATGGTGGCCATGTTGTTGTCCCCATTATTGCTGATCTAGACCGGAGCTAGTAGCTCATGGATGATGAATAATGCTTCAGAAAGAATCCATGCGGCTCAACATGAGTCCTTGTATTGTATCAGCTCTGTTAACACCATGGAAAGACGACACCTAACACATATGCATCGACAACCAAGGCATCAATTAGCTCATTATGAAGCATCACTTTCCGATATCTTGTCTTGATGACATGTTGGTCAACTTAGAAGGTACTAAGGTCTTCTCCAAAATACACCAGAAGAGTGGATAGCACCACATATGTTTTTTTCCTCCTTGTAAATGAAAAATATCTTTATTCATTCACCAAATATGGATTTTTATAGTGCATCATCATACTCAGGTGGAGAACCTGTGAATACAAGAGAAGAACAAAAGGAGAATATTTCACGAGGACATATTGATTAATAAGCTCATAGCTGAGGTAACAAATTCAACAAGAATTCGACTATGGAGGTTGTTTAGACAAATTCCCCATGATAAGCTAATATCAATCACACCAGAGCACGAAAATTATCAAGAACACACGAACACAATGATATACGTGGTCCAGCTTGTAGTCTACGTCCACGGGCGAAGGAGGAGAAAAGCTTTATTAATTGTGAGGAATACAAAGTGGAATCTCTCAATCTCTCAATCCCAAATCACACCCCAAAAGCCTAATACAACTCTCAACTAAAGAAACAAAAGAGAAGAATATCAAATAGGCTTCACAAAAGAACTCTCTCTTCTTGATTGGTGCTCTAAAGATTGATGATTATTATTGGCTTGAAAGACTGTTCTTGTATAGCCTTGAAGATCCCAACTCCTTGCTCTCTAAGGAATAATAGTTCTAATAGGAATAAAAGTCCACATATCCTAAAACCCAACAAGAGTCCAAGTAGAAATAAACCTCTAATATGATTGGTTGTGTAAAGTCTAGTGTAAGTAGGACTCTTGATCAAACAAACCAAGCTGAAAAGGAACTCCCAAAGCAATATAGATTTGAGTATTTGAAGCAACCTATAACAAATCTTCACATTGACTCAAATGCGTAGAAAATTCCTCACTCCAAAATAAGCTAATTAACTTACTCAACCTTCTCTAATATCCCCGCAGGGTATCTAAGTACGACACATATCAATCAAGTCCAAGCCTGGCTTCAACTTGCTCAAAAGAGGCTTCCTCAACAAATCGACTGAATTGTCCGTACGACGACCGTAAATATTAGCAAAGTCATCACCTTAAGTATCTCCTGGATAGCTGAAGGGCACAAAATTGCCAACTGACAATGCATAAGCTAATGTATCTCCATATCTTCGCGGTGGTCGGTTATCTCATCTAGACCGATCTCTAGCAATAGTATATTATCGCTCTTCCTACAACTGCTGATGTGCTTCATCTACTTGAACGAGATCTGGCTGATGAACTCCTGTAGTGTTATCCTCCTAAAGAGCTGAATAATGAATTTTTAACTCCACCTTATGTCATGTAGTGTGTGCATTATCAACAACTGAAACCGATGATCGTTTCTTGTGGAACATAGCAGATTCATCAAAAGTAACATTATGACTTATAACAATCTTAGGAGACTTCGAATCACGATACCACAACCTAAAACCCTTAACACCAGATGCATGATGCATAACCTAGGAATATGTACTTCTTTGCTCGCTTTCCTTGACTAACATGCGTATATGCAAGGTAACCAAATATTCTAAGATTAGAATAATCCGCAGGCTTACAGGACCAAACCCCATCTGGAGTTTTACAACTAATAGCAGTAGATGACGACCGATTCACTAAGTAACAAGTTGTATTCACTACTTCTGCCCAATATTCCTTGCCTAAACCTGCATTGAACATCATACAACGAGCTTTCTCTAATAGGGTTCTGTACATATGTTTTGCCACTCCATTCTGTTGTAGCGTGCGAGGGACTGTATGATGTCTAACGATTCCCTCCTTCTTGCATAACTCATTAAATTCTCCTCCACAAAACTCAATGCCATTATCAGTTCTAAGCCTCTTAATCAGCCTCCCAATCTACTTCTCAATCAAAGACTTCCACTGATTTCAATAAGTTCTCTTTGACGTTCTTCGTGTCAATAGAATCTCCACCGTGAATCATAGTATCCCTGAAGTGTTTGTAGGAAGGTGGCAAAGAACATAATAACAATAAGGCTTGATCTTCGTCATCAATCTTAACATTAACCTTACTCAAATCTATAATCACAGAATTAAATTCAGTAATATGAGATTTGACAGGTGTACCTTTTAACATCTGAAGTGTGTATAAATGCTGCCTCAAGAGGAGGCGCTTAGTGAGCGACTTTGTCAAATACAAATTTTCCAAATTAGACCATAAATCAACAAATGTCTTCTCCATAAGAACTTCTTGCAAGACTTTATTTGTCAAACATAACTGAATCGCTATGAGAGCTATATCATCCAACTCGTTCCAATCTTTCTCTGTCATAGTAGCCGGTTTCTTCGACTTCCTGAACAAAGCCTTCTTCAATCCACTCTATGTAAACATGGCGATCATCCTAACTTGCCAAAGGCTAAAACTGATGTTGTCATCAAACTTCTCGATATCCCACTTCATAGTAGTTATTGTTATCTTCTCGTCCGATCGATAGCTAAGAGCTCTGATACCAATTTCTTATGACAAATTCCCCAGGATAAGCTAATATCAATCACACAAGAGCAAGAAAAATACCAAGAACACATGAACGCAAAGATATACATGGTTCGGCTTGTAAACTACGTTCACGAGCGAAGGAGGAGAAAATATTTATTAATTGTGAGTAATACAAAGTGAAATCTCTCAATCCCAAATCATACCCCAAAAGTCTAATACAACTCTCAACTAAAGAAACAAAAGAGAAGAATATCAAATAGGCTTCACAAAATAACTCTCTCTTCTTGATTGGTGCTCTAAAGATTGATGATTATTGTTGGCTTGAAAGACTGTTCTTATATAGGCTTGAAGATCCCAACTCCTTGTTGTCTAAGGAATAAGAGTTCTAATAGGAATAGAAGTCAACATGTCCTAAAACCCAACAAGTATCCAAGTAGAATAAACCTCTAATATGATTTTCTGTACAAAGTCTAATGTAAGTAGGACTCTTGATCAAAACAAATCAAGCTGAAAAGGAACTCCCAAAGCAATATGGATTTTAGTATTTGAGGCAACCTATAACAGAGGGTAATGGTGAGGATCGCAACTTTTATGGCTCCAAAGACCTCCTCACTTGATTTCTTCTTCCCAAATCAAATAAACAGAAACAGATAGAACCAACATCTTTACCAACTAATTTTAGTCTTTGCCTTTCTGATAATGAGAATACTAGTTAAAAATCAAGGACCTATTTGCACGACCTCCATCTAATTCAAATTTACTCCATGACTCTGTTCCAAATTGAGAAAGAAAATTAGCATTCAAAGAAGAGGTGAGAGTGGCTTTCCATAGTTCCAACAGAGCAAAGGACGTGAGAGTTGACATTAATCATTCTCATATGGAACATCCTTTCTTGGTTAAGAAGTGTAGCTTGAATCGCAAGCCAAAGGGTAAAAGAGTGCTTTCATTACACACTCGAGAGAACCCAATATAGTCCGAGACCAAGAAACAATAAGAAGGTTTGGATAAAATCTTGAAAGAGTAAAGCGTGTTTATAATTTAGAATTACAGTAGTTGGCATGCCGCAGCGATTGCAATGAGATTCTTCAATTTATCAAACTGAGCCACAACAAGATCTCTCACCTTAAGGATGGCCTTTCACATCCACCAGTCATAAACCTTCACCAGCTTTGTATTTGGGTGGGTGACAAATAGAAGACTATGTTTAAGATATACAATGGGCTCTACGAATAGATGGTGATGCAATGTGGCTTGTCCAACGCCCCGAGCATGTTATACACCATATTTTGTAACCTTTCTTGGAGACACATCTGTAGGATTCGAAAAGCATGTTCACC